CAGTGCTGTATTCCTTCTTGTATCATTGGGTTTTTGGGTTTAAAGTTCTATGGGGTTGTATTACTGCCTTAGAGAAAAAATTTAAACATTTTCTGTGGAGTGGAAAGTTGGATGCTAGGAAGATGTCTCAACTCAAATGGAGCCAAGTTACATTACCTTATGCAGAAGGTGGGTTCAACATTCGAAGAATTTCTGATATTGATTTTGCAGCCAAGGTTTCTATTTGCTGGGATTTGCTGCGGAATAAGGAGTCTCTTTGGGTGAAATGGATGCATGCTAGATACTTACCGTTGCATAATTTCTGGAGGGTCTTACCTAAACCTCATGATTCAAGTATTTGGAAGCACATCCTAGACACAAGAGATTTTCTTCATGAAAACGTGGTGTTCAAGATTGGAAATGGTGGTTCTTTTAACATGTTGTTTGATCCTTGGTGTGCAGGTCTTTCCTTGGTTCAGAGATTTAGAATTAACTTGTTTAGGAACTTCGATCCTAAAGCTCAAGCAGCCTTTCTTATTACTGCTGGTGGGTGGGTTTTCCCTCCTTTCTTCCCACAGATAGCTGTAGAGTTTATTAGTAATATTAATCTGAAGGATGGTAATGATGAAATTAGTTGGATTCATGGTGAATTCAATTTGAAAAATGCTTGGAAAGTTTGCAGAGCTAGAGGGCAATAGGTCAGCTGGAAGGGGTTATCTTGGACTCATTGTAGACCAAGGGTTGCTGTGGTTTTCACAATTATAATGCATAATAAAAATTTGTCCTTTGTTAATTTGCAGAGAAGGGGATTTCAGGGGCCTGCAGTTTGCCATAATTGTTTTAAGGCTGAAGATTCAAATAATCATTTATTTTGTTCTTGTGAGTATGCTATTCAAGTGTAGCAACAGGTTGTTCTTCGGTTCAATATTACTGATAGGAGATTTGAAGAGCTTGGTTTGTTTGTGGATTGGATGATTGAAGTTACTCAGGGTAATGGTATTAGGTCCAAGCTTTTCGAAGGGCTGTTTGTGGTGTTTGTGTGGAAGATATGGAAGGAACGGAATTCTGTTTTGCATAGGAATATTAAAGTTTATGTTGTTGCCGCTGCAAATGAGATTGTCTGGGAAGTTTTAAGCTTTTTTTCTCTTAGGCTTGCTGATATACTTACTATTTTTAATGTGGTGTAAGCTTTTATAGTATTTCAGTTGGTTTTTGAAATGGTTTCATTCCATTTCCTTTTCTGTAAAGAGGGGTATGCCTCTCTATTGTATTTGTACTTTAACTTTTATCCTTTTCTTTATAAAATCATCCCATTCAGGAAGAAAAAATAGATATCGGGTCGAGTTTTAGTCTTCTAGGCTAATGTACCGGGTCACGAGATTCGGGGCGTTACAGAACTCCCACCATCTTTTGGAATTCTCAAGTCACTTCCTATTCCTTTTCCTCTTTTCTCTTTTGTATAACTTTGAAACCTATGTAATGAGGCCATGGAGTCTTATGTTTTAAAAGTCTTTTCTTTATTAAATTGCACTCTTGAGCATGCTACACACACTTCCATCTTGGTATCTATACTTATAGGCCTTGTACTACATTTTAAAATGATCAGTTTTAGATCACTTAGAACGCATGTTGGAGGTTAAAATAGGACAAAAGTCATATTGCAGACTAAAGACCATTTTTTTCCACTCCTAGGACAATTGAGTCAACAGAGTCTATAACTCAGCCAATTGAATTTCCAATTCAATAGTTGACTGCATTGGCTTCCCCTTTCTATAGGTCACTTCCACTCTAGGCCAATCGATTGAGTCTTTAATTCAAACGATTGGATTCGTAACCCAGCCGACTGAGTTGGTTCACTTTTCTTGCAAGTTGGTCCCAATCTGGGCCAGTCGACTGGGTTGGAACCCAACCGACTGGTTCTACATGGAACCTCATTTTCTCTCTCCTTTTGCCTTGTGCTTCATTTTGACCTTATTTGGGCGGACCATTGTCATGATAGTACTTTGTATTTGACCATTGGATGTCATTTGGTACCTGGATGGATCATTTGACCCCTTTTGACCTTAGCTTTCGCATTTCTTTATCGTTTTGGGACGGGGTTTCGTATCACTTTAGTTGATGAACTGAATTATGAGATTTGGGGTGCCACAATGTGGAATCAGAGCGTCTGGGTTTGAGAACCTAAGGATGACGGGTTTTGAATTTATTTCATGCTTTTTGTTGAAATGTCTTAACATGCTTAAATTTTTATGTGCTTATGTGACTAAGTGTTTAAAAGCATTTCCCATTTATTTTAGCATGACATGTATGCTAATTTGCATTATCATGGATAACGTTTCATGCTTTCATTGAGTGAGTAGCATACGGTTTTGAGCTCAAATGATTGATTCGAGACTTACATCTATGCTAGTTTAGTTCTTCGCGCTTATAACATCATGGTTATGACACGTGGAGAGTTTTTGTGTCACATTGAGGATAAGCAAGTTGATGATACCGAGCTCATCTGGGGCATATGCAACCCTAGGAGAGCTAGGGTCAGAGAGCAGAATATGGGCACTGATCCACCACTTGCTCAGGTGGATAAGGATCAGATTATGTGGGGAGTGACTTAAGGGATTGCTGCATCTCTTCAGGAGTTGCTTCGAAGGGAGGTTGCAGGGATACGAATTCTAGCATCGACACCGGTTGTAGTCAATGAGGCTTTGGAGATTGATCTGTTTGCTGGGAGTTCGAATCCATTGGTCGCAGAGGCTTGGCTTACTCTTATGGTCAGCAAGCTTGACAACATGGTAGTGCTAATGGATAGGTTGATGATCTTTTTGACCTCTTCTATGTTCATAGGCAACACAGAGTTTTGGATAATTTGGTGAAGGAATTATTCTTTCTGAATTTCTTGAGTGAAAGAATTATTTGATTTAATAAAGGATAAATTTACATTTTGAAATAAGATCGAGCTTAAAAAACATTTTGGACCTAAATAATGATTCTCGATGCATATGTAATTGTTATTTTTAGTTAAACCAAAGTGAAAAACAAACTTCTAAAATAGACCAATTTGTTATTCAGGTTTCCTAATTATATTTATGTGTAGTTTTCCCAAAAAAATTTAAAAAATTTACATGCCTAGAGGCTTTGAACAAAGTCGTGCAAAGTTCATTGATCTAAACTTAGAAAAGGGGTGAATACTTGTATAACTTTTAAATTCTACTCCCTCTTTCCCGCATTTGTAGTTCATCTTTTCTTTTAGAGATGTCCCAAATTAGTTGGTCAAAATAAAATAAGAGTTGTCCTTCCATAATTACCCTTTTAATTTTTCAAAAATCCCCCCAATTAGTAATATATATATATATATATATATATATATATATATATATATATATATAGATATATATATTTAAATTTAAAAGGTCAACTTAATAATTTTAAAAGGGAACAATGTAATAATTGCATGTCCTATAAAAGTTCTACTCCCTAAAATGGATAACTAATATGGAACTGAGAGAGTATTAAAACTTATTCTGGTATTCTGACAATAAGATTAATAAACAAAAACAAAATAATCTATGTTGTTTTAATTTGCTTGACTGACTAATATGTATTTATCAATGTAAAATAAAACAATCATGCAACCAAAAAAAAAAAAAATAAAGTAATATTCTATTTTTTTTTAATGGCAAACCAAACATCCTCCAAAATTTTACATCGAAAAACTTTCAAACATGAGTCAAAAAATCACAGCCGTCATAAAAAGAAATGTACAACAGTCAAGGTGAAGGTGGACCAGTTGTGAAAAAGCACAGGCAATCCAACTTTATAAGAAATATTTTTGAAAATATTTACCTAAATGCCTACCCCTAAAATCTTACCAAAGATGAATAATATGTGTGTCATTACACACTTACTTTTTAATATGTTGTTCTCATTTCGGAATATGTTAACAATAAAAGAATAACTGACAAAACAGATTTTTCTCCTTCCTCGATCTCACCCTCTCATCTATGCCTTTGTGGTTCATCTATTTATATATGAATTTTGTAACGTCCTCCCCTATTTTCGTCCATATCGTCGTCCCTTGCTAATAATCAAGCTTCGATCACTCATTCTCTTGATTCGCGTAACTTGATTATGTTGAGATCAACGGACCAGTGACTTAGCGATATCAGCCTCTTACTTCTTTAAGGGAGGTCAGGGGTTCAAATCTTAGAAGAAACAAATGTATGTAAGTACCAACTTAAAAAAAAAAAAAAAAAATTATGCTAAGACGATTATCCATGTGATCGCGAGTCGTGGTAGCTATGTATTCTAACTTATTATAACACCGAAATTTGTCGATCACAATTTGTCATCCTGATGCAATTTGTGGTTGTGAGTCATGGCAGTCCTTCATTGGCCAAGTAATGATTTGCGTATCTTGATTATGCTAGACGATTATTGTTACAAGGGGAAACTTGTCCCACATCGGATCCGGATGGGAAGTGACATGGGTATAAATGGGTGGGTATGCAGCCTTACCTAACAGTTCGAGCTTTTGGGTAAATGGGCAAGCGCCCACCCGTTACAGTTGGTATCAGAGCCAGACCCAGTCCTTGATCCGGTGCCACGCCAAGCGCCCGGCCCGGAAGGCATCCGGGTGTGCCACCCCGGGTAGGCAGGGTGGCCCAACCGCAACGAGGGCGTTGCGAGTTCGGATGGGGGAGAATGTTACAAGGGGAAACTTGTCCCACATCGGATCCGGATGGGAAATGACATGGGTATAAATGGGTGGGTATGCAACCTTACCTAACAGTTCGAGCTTTTGGGTAAATGGGTCAGGTGATCCCCCAACACTTGTCACCACCGAAATTTATCAATTACAATTTTTTTTATGTCACCATCTACCAGGTCTCGGTGCTTTTTTCGACCTATACCCCACAAATCAAACACCACCCAAACGACGACGTGAAAGTGCATTTGTAACTAGTAGTCTAAAAGTAGTTAAAACGTCATCGTTTTCGTCCCAGATCAAACGACACCTAAACGACGTCATTATCTTGGTGCCATTTTAATCTCCTCCTAGTGTTAGAAACCCCTCCGTCTCACTCTCTCTCTTTAGTCTTTGCTACCTCTCGCTGTTCAATCCTCCGCCGCTCTCTGTTTCTTTCTTTCATTCAATCCGATGGTATGCGTCTCCTCCCCTCTCTTGTGGCGTTAGTTACTCTCTCCAGAACACCCACTCTCTCTCTCTCATCATCTTCTATCTGAATGTTTAATCTGTTTTTGGCAGGCTCCAAAGAAGGAAAAAGCTCCTCCTCCGTCTTCCAAGCCAGCCAAATCTGGCGGTGGAAAACAAAAGAAGAAGGTCAAAATTTTCTTTCATATATATATATGTTTGTATGTATTTATGTATGAATTTATGTGTGTGTATATATATAATGTATTATGAATGAATTGTGATTGATGCTGTGGTGTGATGATGATTTTGTGGAATATACAGAAGTGGAGCAAGGGAAAGCAGAAGGAGAAGGTGAACAACATGGTGTTGTTTGACAAGGGTACCTACGACAAGCTCCTCTCTGAAGCTCCCAAGTACAAGCTCATCACTCCTTCCATTCTCTCCGATCGCCTAAGGGTATCAATTCTTCTCTCTCATCATTTATCATTTTACTCTAGCTTGTGTGTGTGTGTGTTTTTTTTTATTTTATTTTTTTTTATATTATTATTTTTTGCTGTAACCAAATCCAAATTAATTCAGAGTCCATGACATCCATATATGGGCGCAAATTATGGATCTGTGGATACCCGTTTTCGTGTTTAGCTTTGTATGGCTGATTTCCTCTGTTTGTATCCCACTTGTAGTATTATACAGAGCATGTTTGGATGGGAATTTGAGCTTGACATTTGAAAATTTGGGTTTTGGGGAAACATTAATCCTTTATGTTATTTTGGTTAGAAGTTGATTTGTTTAATAGGGATTCTATGCTGTTATGCACTGATGTATAGGTAAGGATTGCTAACCTATTCATTAGGTGACCCAATTTTTTGCTAATTTTTATTAATGTTAATTTCCAGATTTCTTTGTTTTTGTGATGATTTTTATTAACTGAAGTACCAATATCTCTGGTTATTTTTATTTTCTTGTCTGTTGCTTTTATTATTGTTAAGTACCAAATATCTCTCATTATATTTCTGTTTATGCTGATTTACCTTGAATCTCTTCTGAGGGTTGGTTAAATAAATCGTAAATGAAACTTTTAAAAAATTTGTGATTAACCTCCCTTGAGGTTTGACGAAAATACGAATAGCCCCACATCAAAGTATTAAGTCCATTAAATGAAGTCTCCTTAAATGCCATAATTTCCCTTTTTATTCACAATTAATATTTGCACTACAAATTATATGCTTATTGGTATACTACACATATATCACAAATCAACTAAGCCCCCTTCCCCCACCCCACAGCCACAAGGCTCTTCTCACCACTCTATTCCAACCAATGCCACCACCACCTATTCATCTCTCTCGACTTACACTCTAGCTACCTATTTTCTTCTGTATTCCGCCTTGCTCTCTCTAAAAGTCTTCACAAAGTATATCGGTCAATTATTATCAAAGCAAAGATGGCGGGTTTTTATTTGGGTTTCCTTGTTTATGCTTTGTCCTTGTTTTGTTTTGTGGATCTTTATATGTTTAGAGGTTGGTGTGTTCGTGTATATGCTTTAGAAAGAGAAAATCAGGACTACTTTTATGTTTTAAAACAGGAGGCATGAAATATTTTGGTAGTTATTCTTTAATATGGAAGCATATTACACATCTCATCAAACCTCTTGAAATGGCCACACAGCTGGTTTGGATGACTTTAGAATTGGTTACAAACTCAATTTTGTTTGTCACATGTTGATTTGAGTCTAGAGGCAAACACGTGTGCAAAGAAGACCCAAGAGAATTTAGAGCTAGTCAAAGAAGAAGAGTTGGTGTACAAGTGTATATGGTCACAGAGAAAGTTAAAGCTAGGGTTCCATGTCTACTGAGAGAGGAAATAGAAGGTGATACAAATTAATTTGCAATCAAATGAAAGTTATAGTGATAATATCGTAGAGAGTGAAGAAAGGTGGGTGGTGTTTAGGGAGATATAAAAATGAAAAAAAATTGACATAATAGTCTTTTTGTGTTATATGTTGCTTTATTTTACTTATAAAAAAATGTTGTTTTATTTTATTTTATTTTTTACTAGTCTTATAATTTGAGGTTAAAAAGTAATTTAATTTTACTTTTAGTGTCAGTTAATGTGACAGACTCTAACAAGGGGTGTCGTAGTGATTTTGAAAAAGAAAGCTTCCGAGGGTTATTTACCCAAACGTCAAGGGAGGTGGGACCAGGCGGTAGTGATTTACCCTTTTTATTAACATTAAGTACCAAAAATCTCCCATTATCAGTTTCTTGCCGCTCGAAGCAAGTCTATAAACATTATAATAGTCCAATAGTCCGTGGTCATAATTGAGTAAAATAGAAAGTGCATCTTAGTATTCTTTTTGCCTTTATAACTATTTTGGACAACTGATCCAAACTAGATACTAAGCTTTTTGTGAATCTGCTCATAGAGGATTCATGTATGTGAACAATTGGTTTTTATTTTGGAGCCGCTATAGAGGAAATAGCAGTTTTAGGACAATGCATTTGGGTGCCTCTCCATATCCCCAGGCCACACATTTCCTTTCTCAATTTAGGGCAACTTTATACCATGTAATCGGTGTTGGTACCTTTTGGGTTTGAACCTACACTTAGTATTAATAGTCTCCATTTGAAGGTCTAGAGTGAACTATATCTCGAACTTGGACTCTTTAACCAAACTTCAGCATATCACACACTCATTTACTAGATAATAACATGGTTGTGGCCTCACAATCACTCACTCAGGGGAATTCTAGACCTGTACCTTCCAGAAATGACTGCCTCGGGCTCATTCAGTCATTGCCCTTCCTAATGTCACACTAAACAACACTACTGCCAAAGGGAATATGATGTCAATGAGTCACGCAGTAATGACTCTACCCCTAAAAAACTTCTTCATGGAATCTCGAATTATAAAGGACAGGTTACCTCCGAAGGTGACTCATCCCCCTCGACACTTCTGGGACTACACTCATATAAAATCGAGACTCTTGGTCTTGTGATTATGTTTTCCATGACATTTGGGATGGACTGCAAAATACCCTAGATTTAAGTAGAGTTACAGTTTAGATAATTAGGGGCATTTATATGTTATATTGGTGGTTAATGTTGGCGAGAAAATTGGTTCTAGAATATATGGTTTAGTCATAAATAATTTAAATAAATAAATGAAGGTTACGATTTAAGTAATATGTTTTTCTATGTGTAGGCAGGGCATAAGATTTCTTCCTCTCTCTCTCTCTCTCTCTCTCTTTTCCCCCCAGTTTCTTTTCTATCTCTTTGTCTGATGGGCAAGTCATTCTAGGCATATCAAATGGATCTTACTGCTCCACCTAGGTAATTTGGGGAAAAAATACATTTTTATTGAACACGCTTCAGCAACCAAGTTGCCATGTTCCGGCTAACTGATTTTGAACATGTTTAAGTAGCTGTTATTAATATTTAGATTTATCTTGGTTGGGAGCTGGGCTTCTATTCAATAAGAATATTGTGTTCTAGCTCTGACCTTATAGAGTTGATTTCTATAGAGGTTGTAGAGTGTCAAAGAGAGGCAAATAGAGTAGGAAAGTATTTAAGAGCTTTGGGTGGGGATGAGGGAGCTTTTACTATACTCAGTTCTTTAAACAATTATTGAATTTAATTTATTTATTATTTATTTATTTTTGACATGTAGTAAATTTCGGGTGGATGGAGATAATGCCTTTTTTTTTTTTTGGTTGAGTTGTGTCTGTTTGTCTGTCTGTGAAGATGCTTCTATCGCCTCATCAGTGAACTAGGTCCTTGCATAAGAATTGGGATAATGATTTCTTACACTTGGACTATTAATTCTAACACGTCAAAATATATAATCTACTTGAGGGTAAAATTGTGTGGTGGCATCTTAAATGCTTGACAGTTGGCCGAGGCAATCCCCAAGGTTTGTTTTTGAAGTTGACAACTAAGAGATATGTGTTAGGTACTTTGGCTTGTGCATTAATAGTGCTGCAAGTGTGTGCCAAAGTTCTTAGTGTTATAGCTGCAAATTGTTAATAGTGAAAAAGAATAAAATAAAATAAAATAATTTAATCAATGTAATTTTAGTTGTATGCTTTGATTTTCAAGGTAAAGTAAGACCAAACGTGCTGAAAGGGACATAGACGAGACGATTTAGAATTTAGAAGATGCTACTCAATCCCTCTGGGCAAACTACTATCCAATACATTTGACATTTCCTGTGGATAACTATGGAATGTCACTGCTTTATATCCAGGAATTAAATTAGATTTCTATTATAATTGACACTTCATGTGTATACCACTTGCAGTGGTACTGGTTATTTATTTATTAGTAACATTGGTTTTGGTACCAATTGGCCCAGCGGTATCACCCCTTCCTCCTCAAAGGGGAGGTCGGGGGTTCGAATCTCGGTGGAGGCAGAGTGTGTGCGTAATTGCTTTAACTTCCAAAAAAAAGAAAGATTGGTTTTTTTACCACCAATCCTTTATTCAAAAAAATATTGTCCATCATGTGTTTGTACCTAGATTTATATTTAGAATATACATTGATTCCGATGATCTAGTGTTGCTGATGGAAAAATTTTTGGTCACACCTTATGCCTGAGTTTTGTTTAGTTAACTTGATTGTCATTGGTTTAGCAATGATTTCAAAATACATGTTTTATGTGGCAAATAATGACAAAGTTGGGTTTGTGTCCTGGTCATTCTTCTAATCTGATTGAAGGACCAACACTTTCATGTTTTGTATGACTCGGTTATGTTTGATCATAGTACAGTAAGCATCTTTATCAAAGTGCAGGGCCTAGCTCCTTGGTTCGTTACAGGAACAGCCATTTGTCGATATTGCCTAAGCTTTTACTGCTAATTGATGTTTGTTTGGCTATAGCCATTTGAAATATTAGATTTGGCATCTTCATTAATATGTTTTGGTTGACTTGCTTATTGTCCTCGTATTATCGTTAATTTTTGGTGTGGATTAGAATTTCTTCTCTTTATTAATCCAAAACTTAATACTTTCATTTTTGAATAAATTTCTCAGGTCAATGGATCACTTGCAAGGAAAGCAATAAGAGAATTGATGGCTAGAGGTTTGATCAGGATGGTATCTGTTCATGCAAGCCAGCAGATATACACTAGAGCAACCAACACCTAGGCGTCTTGTTACGTTGCTTATAGATATCTATAAATTGGTAATTTTGACTGCTATTTTGTTTGAGTTATTACTTTCTGCGCGTTTTTGTTAAAGACATAGCCTTTGCTACTCTAGCGAGATTGATTTGGTTTGAATATTAATCTTCGATCATTTTTTTCCTGGTAATGGTGATGGATATAAGTGAATCCTTTCTATTGATTTAATTGGGCATATCCAATCTTTCAGATTATGGCTCCCTTGAGATGGAGAATTATGGTTTCGGTGTCTCTGATGTCGGAACGATTTAAGTAGATGCAAGATCTAGAAATCTACCTTTCGTAGGTGTCAAAGCGGTTTTTTGTTGGAATTTTTTTTTTCCCGTTAGTTGTCGAATTATTGTAATTAGTATTCGTGGTGCATTGTTGTATTAGGTCAGGGATCCAAAGGTTCGTTCTTGTTCTAACTACAAGGATGAGGCTTTGATGGAAATCGTTTATAGTTGTCAAAGAAAATACCATAGGGAGTTTGGCATAGTTGAAGTGATAGGCGTTTATGAAATAAAATAAAATAATTTATTTATTTATTGTGTATTACCAAATACTATTTGATCTTTCTGAGAGAAAAAGGTATTTGTTATAAGTAACAAAAATGCCAAACATGCTGGGAGTTGGTACTCCTGTTGGCTGATTGCATCCATGGATTAAAATTTTAATTGTTTTTGACTTGCCTAATAGGTGTCCATGAACTAAAAAATAATATATAAAATAAATTATTTTCTGATTATATTTTTCCTAAGAAGGCAAGCACACAAGCAAATAATATATTTTTTTAGTTCGTGGACCCACTGATTTTTTTTTTAGTAATATATCTTGTTATTATTATTATTATTTGGATATATATACCTACAAAATTACACTACCAACCCTTGAAATTGTTAAAAAGTTGCATTATCGCTCCCCACTCCGTCCCTGTTGGCACTGTTAACAATCGAAATAGCAATAGCACGGACGGTTTCATATTTAAAAAATGCCCAAGATGTGCCCCCCATGTGGCCCAGGTCCGAAAGAGTGTTGTTTTTTTTGGGTATACTGACAATCGCGCACACTTTTTTTACATGCGAGGTAGTTTGCAAGTCGGGTGAGTCGGGTCGGCAGCAATATATTTCAGCAACTTGAAAGACATTTTCATACCAAAAAGAAAAAACGCTTTAAAGGGATTTTAGCACGTCAATCCCAAAACAACACTTGAGATCAGGTCATCTCTCATTCACTTCAAAATGAACTTTGCTAGTCTTGTGTGGTGGGACTATAAGAAGGAATGCATGTTCTCCAACTTCATGCTTGGATGTAGTAAGTATTATATTGGGAATTTGAGAATTCAAATCTCCAGATGATATTGGGTTCTACATTCTCGTTTTCGTTTAATTTTTCAATCGTATAACTGTTCCAAAACTCGTTGAATTTTTTCAAAACAATCTCCATTCACGTCCTCATTTATATATTCAATTCCCCAAAATTGTTTCAAAAGGGACGGACCCCGCGGACGTGGGAATTTCTCTTCCCTACTTACAACTGCATTGTCAAATGCTATTTTAATTATGGGATGGTGTAAGGCATCTTGCTTAATACTTATTCTGCATTATGATGTCTGTTATATATATATATATATATATATATATATATATATGAATATTTGTTTATGGGTTTTATTTTGGGTGAGTTTGTGTGGGTTGAGTGTGTGGCTTGTTGAATTGCACGTGCTTCTGTTAGGTACATGGTTTTTGGCACACTTCGTTAATTGATTCGATGATGAAAACTTTGGTTTGAAAAAGAATATAATACTTAATTAACTAAAGGTCCCTAGAATCCCATGGCCACAAAATAATGTGTGAACCGCAGTGGTGTAGGATATATTTTATTCAATTATGACTCGAGCATGAGTGATGTCTCTTCTAAGGTGTACCTCTACCCCTTGGTGTTACAATGGGACACTATGTGGGCTACCTTCCAAAACAACTTCGCATCGACTTCTGCAACGAACTTTCCGAAAAATTTTCTGAAGTTTATTTTACGTGGCATATATTTGTTGTCTTTGAAAGATTGCAGAGAATTTTTTACTTTATTGTATTGCTAAGACATGTATATATACAATAGAGTACAACTAATAAAGGACACATATCCCATCATTAAAGCAATCTGAGAATTATAACAGCTAGCTATACCTCCTAATTTATAGTATGTAATTCCATACATTTTTCTTTAATTTATATTGTGTAATCCCACAATTCATGGAGACAAGAATATTCATCCAATATCTCCCCACAAACGCGACGATGGAGGCAAGACGAAGACACAAATTGAATTCGATGAGTGCGGGCTGCAACACGTTCACGAACAAAGTGATAGTCTAATTCAATATGTTTAGTGCATGCATGAAACACCGGATTGGCAGCCACGTAGGTGGCACTGAGGTTATCACAGTAAATTACAGTTGGAGGGATAGAGGGAAAACAAAGTTCCTGTAAGAGACTGTGGATCCAAACCGTGTTAGCACAAGTATAGGCAAGTGCATGATATTCAGCTTCAGTACTAGAGCGGGAGATTGTCGATTGTTTCTTGGCACACTAATGCTACGTTTGGTGTGCAGGAATGGAATGGAATGGAATGCTCATTCCAACCATTCCTTTATCTGCTATGCAACTTAAAGTGGGAATAATCATTCCATTGGAATGAAAATCCATTCCTGGGAATGAAAATCCAGTCCACAACTAAACCTATGGAATGGCCATTCCATTCCCAAGTAATTTATTTTAAAAAATCGACTTCCCAAAACACCCTCATATTCTAAGTCCAAAAACCACCATTACCTTCCACCACAATCATCTCCGCCTTTCACCACCACCACCACTACCACTGCCTTCTACCACCACCGACTTTCACCATCGCCCACCACTTTCCACCACCACCACTGCCATAGCTTTTCACCACCGCTACCGCCACCGTTTGCCGCAACCACCACCGCCTCCTTTCACCACCGCTACCCCTACTACCTTCAACTACCACTGCCATTGCCTTTCACCACCTTCCACCACCACCGCCACGATCTCCTTTCACCACTGCCACCACCTTCCACCATCACCACTGCTGTCGCCTTTCACTACCACCACCACCTTCCACCTTCCACCAACGCCACCACACGACCCCACACGGCTACCTTTCACCACCACCGCCACCGCCGCCGCCTTCCACAACCACCAACGCCGCTGTCATCGCTTTCCACCACCGCCATCGCCTTCTGTAACCTTTCATCACCACCACCATCACCACCTTCCACCACCGCCACCGCCACCACCTTTCATCGCCACCATCGCAGCCACCACCACCGCTGCCTTCCACCACCGCCGCCGCCTTCCACCATCACTGCCTTCCACCACCGCCGCCGTCACCACTACCACCACCGCCTTCCACCACCTTCCACCACCACCGCCACCACCACTTCCACTACTTTCCATCACCACCATAGTCACACCATTATCTCCTTCCACCACAACCACTACACTACTGCCACCGCCTTCCACCAACACCACTGCCACCTTCTACCACCACTGCTGCACCAATTTCCACTACCGCCGCCTTCCAACACCACCACTTACACTACTACCGCTTTCCACCATCCACCACCGCCACCGCCACTGCCACTGCCACCATTTATTTTTAAAAAATTATTAGAGAATATATTTTTGTTAATTTAATTTAATTTATTTGTTACTAAGAAGGATATTTTGGAGAATTCAATTAGAAATTTATTCCATTCTAAATTTTAAATTGGTCCAACCAAACACTAGAATGGTTATTATTATTTCATTCCTACACATTTCATATTTACAACCAAACAATATAATGAGAATGACCATTCCATTCCATTCCCATTCTCATTCCATTCCCACTTGTATTCTATTCCATTCCTGCACACCAAACGTAGCATAAGAGATTAAATCAGGGCCAAGAAAAATGTAGTAACTTGTGGTGGAATGACGAGTATTTAAGCAACAGGCCCAATCAGCATTAGAAAAGGCAGTCCAACATATCGGGATGTTAGAACGGCGTATAGGAAAATCGCGACCAAGGGAACCTTTAAGATAGCGAAGAATTCTCTTAACAGCTTCCAAATGAGAAGTACGAGGCTGACTCATGAATTAAGCAACGTTTTGAACAGCGTAGGCGATGTCTGGACGAGTAAGGGTAAGATATTGGAGAAAGCCAACTAAGTGTTGATACTCAGTAGGATCAGCCAATAAAGTTCCAGAAGAAAGAGAAAGTCGAGATTTGGCAGCAACAGGTGTAGTACAAGGTTTGCTGTCAAGGAGTTTACTTCGGCGAAGGATATCCAGTGTGTATTTATTTTGAGAGAGATACAGCCCTTGTGAAAAATGAGTAACCTCAATACCCCAAAAGTAGTGAAGTTGCCCAAGGTCTTTAATTTCAAATTCAGCCCCTAGTGTTTAGGTGAAGGAATGAATAAGAGAAGGAGTATTGCCTGTAAGAATGATGTTGTCCACATAGAGAAGAAGAACCATAACTTGGGAGTTGCGATGAAAAGTGAACATGGAGTTGTCGGCTTTGCTCTGTACAAAACCATAAGAGAGAATAAAATAACTAAACCATTGAGACCATGCCCTGGGTGCTTGCTTTAAACCGTAAATGGCATTATGAGTTTGCAAATGTGATGAAGGCGACTAGAATCTACAAACTCGGGTGGTTGAGTCATATACCTCCTCAGTAAGAGAACTATGAAGAAAGGCATTTTTGACATCCAATTGGTGAATAGGCCATGCATGAGATACAACAACAGTAAGAATTGTGCGAATCGTGGTGGGCTTGACTACAAGGTTGAAAGTCTTAGTATAGTCGATGCCGGCTTGCTGATGAAAGCCTTTAGCAATGAGACGCACTTTGTAGCGCTCAATACTGCCATCAGATCGTCGTTTTAGCTTGAAAACCCATTTACACCCAACAATATTGACATTAGGTGGCGGCGGGACAAGAGACCAAGTTCGTTGATTGAGAAGAGCATTGAATTCGTTGTTCATGGCATTGCGCCATTTCGCGGAGCGAATGGCTTGAGTGTAACAAGTTGGCTCTACATCAGATAAGGTGAGCAAGGTGGAAAAAGCTTATGGAATCGGATGACAACTAGCAAAATTTGCCCGTTGCTTGGGTTTGAA